GTTGAAGAATTACTTGTATGCTTTGGGTCATTGTCCTGTTGCAAATCACCCCATCCTCTGCGGAGCTTCAGTTGGCGGACAGATGGGCGTACGTTTTCCTGCAAAATGTCTTGATTAACTCTGGAATTCATTTTTCCCATCAATGACAACAATCCGTCCAGGCCCTGAGGCAGCAAAGCAGCCCCAAACCATGATGCTCCCTCCGCGCCATGTTTTACAGTGGGGATGAGGTTTTGATGTTGGTGTGCTGTGCCTTTTTTTTTCTCACTCACATAGTGTATGTGTGTTCTTTCCAAACAAAACTCAATCTTGGTTTCATCTGCCCACAGTATATTTTGCCAGTAGTGCTGTGGAACATCCAGGTGCTCTTTTGCAAACTTCAAACGTGCTACAATATTTTTTGGACAGCAATGGCTTCCTCCGTGCTGTCCTCCCCATGTACTCCCATTCTTGTTTAATGTTTTTCCTTATTGTAGATGTGTCAACAAAAATGTTAGCATGTGCCAGAGATTTCTGTAGGTTCTTTAGCTGACACTCTGGGATTCTTCTTTACCTCATGCAGCATTCTGCGCTGTGCTCTTGCAGGGTCATTTTTTACAGGACGACCATGCCTAGGGAGAGTAGCAACAGTGCTAAACTTTCTCCATTTGTAGAAACAGTCTGTCTTACCGTGGACACATGAACATCAAGGCTTTTGGAGATACTTTTGTAAAACCCTTTCCAGCTTCATGCAAGTCAACCAATTGTCTTGATCATAGGTCTTCTGAGAGCTCTTTTCTGCGAGGCATGGTTCACATCAGAGAGTGCTTCTTGAAACCAGTAAACCCAAAACAGGTGTGTGTTTTTTAAGGGCAGGACAGCTGTCAGCAACACATCCAATATCATCACACTGATTGGAGTCAAGGTTGGCTCACATTCCTGGCTCCAATTAGCTCTTGGAGAAGTCATTAAGCTAGGGACTCACATACTTTTTCCTCCCTGCACTGTGAATGTTTACATGTTATGTGCAATTAAAACCCATGGGAACATCTAATGTTTGTGTAGTATTATGTTCAGCAGACTGTGTTCTTCTATTGTTTGTGACTTAGATGACGTTCAGAGCACATTTTATGCCCAATTCATGCAAAACTCCACGTAATCCCAAGGGGTTCACATACTTTTTTCTTGCAACTGTATGTCACCTACCTTCAGGTATTGTGACCCATATTATCGTATAAATTCTAATAAGTAAAGACGTTGCTGCGATGCACAAAATATTTGTTCCAACATCCAAAAAGAAAATCTAAATATGAGCTACACCACATGAAAAACTCAATTACACCATTATAGAAACTGTCATTTTAAATAAAATGACTGTTATGCCAATGTGTCGTTACCAGGGGCGGACTGACAACTCATGGGGCCCCCGTGCATATAGGGGATCATGGGGCCCCTGTGTCCCTTGCCCAAACTCAAAAAAGCCTATGAAAAAGGGACCAGGGGCATCTCATGGGCCCCCTACTGACCCCAGGGCCCTCGGGCAGTGCCCGGGGAAAGTTTCCAAATGGTCAGTCCGCCTCTGGTATCAACCAAACCTCTCCAAGAGAAATCATCGTACTTAGATACCACCTTCGAACCATGTTTGTCTTTACTTTCGGAATAGTTGTTGGCACTCCAGATACCAAGTTAAATTCTCCGTAATCTGCACACAATCTGATCGTGAATATCCTTGCACTGCCAGCCGTCTCACAAAGCTTGGAGCTTCAATCCAGGGGTATGGCCGATGTCAGGCAAACATTCATCAAAACTCTATTTGTTTCTGCATAACTGAAAGGATACGGAGACTATACATTGCGGCTATGTCAAATGCCTTCTAATATCATGTTATTTCAAATACAGCAGATTTCTATAGCCCTATTATTTAGGAAATATTTCCCACCCTGATTATTGGATGGGTTATGTTGTGTAGCCATGGGCAATTGTAAACAAGGAGCAGCTGTATGTACATTCATCGTACATAAAGTTCAAGGTTAACCATTGTGCATTGCCTTTGGCCTTTGCTGTTACATAATTCGAGAGACATGGACTTTGCCACCTGGATCCAGTGCTTACTTAACTTCAGCTAGTAATGCGTGTTTATGTTAGGAAATGTCTTTCCTTTAGTTTGGGTCCAATAGCTGCTGACAAGTAGACATCTGGTGTGTAAACAAATGTGAAATCAACCCCTTTGTGGCCATTCAGTATTTCATGCTTAAAAGGCCAGATTCGTGCTGATTGGAAAGGCTGTAACAGTATATTCCCAGAATCCAATGAAAGGTACAAAGCTTGCCTCTCCGGGCTTTCGCGATGCACTCTGGTATCGCACAAGTAGGACTGACCATCCTGTGAAGGTCTTTGTGAACCTGGTATACGGGAATAATTGCAAAAAGTGGGAATACCTTTTTTGTTAAAGGATAAGTTCACCTTTTGGACAAAAATAGTAAATACACATTTTTTTGCAGGTAAAAAAAAATGTGCATTTATTATTTTTCCCAAAGGAGCCTGGAAAGCATTGCACCAGTGACCAGTAGATCGCTGATGTCATGCAGGTCTCCTACAGACATGTCAGAATATCTACTTGATGTACGAGATGTACAGGGTATATGGGATGTATGGGATGTCCGGATGTACTGGGTGTACGGGATGTATGGGGGTGTACAATATGTATGGGGTGTACGCAGGGGCGGACTGACCGTTGGAAACTCAGGCACTGCCCAAGGGCCCCGGGGTCAGTAGGGGGCCCCATAACATGCCCCTGGTACCTTTTTCATAAAGGCTTTTTTGAGTTTGGGCAAGGACACAGGGGCCCCATGATCCCCTATTGCCCGGGGGCCCCATGAGTTGTCAGTCCTACCCCTGGGTGTACGGGATGTATGGGATGTAGGGGGTGTACGGGATGTACTGGAAGTATGGGGTGTACAGGATGTACGGATGTATGGGCTGTATAGGGTGTACGGGGTGTATAGGGTGTACAGGATTTAAAGGATGTACAGAGTGTATGGAATGTATGGGGTGTATGGGATGTACGGGAAGTACAGGTGTACAGGATGTACGGGGTGTATGGGATGTATGGGATGTTCCAGATGTATGAATGACACAGCCATGTGGGCGGAGCCCTGTACGGCCCTGTACTAGCTTTTGTTACCACTATCCCCCCTCCCTCCTAGATTGTAAGCTCCCAGGAGCAGGGCCCTCTAATCCCTCTTGTTTTGAACTGTGTTGTTACTGTACTGTCTCCCTCCATATTGTAAAGCGCTGAGCAAACTGTCGGCGCTATATAAGTCCTGTATAATAATAATAATAAAAAATGCATTGAGTTGCTGCCATGTGATTGGACTCATGAGACAATCATAGGAGAATGAAAACTTCTACAAGCTTTAACTAGTGCTCTGTTGGACACTGATAGAAGTCACAAGACTGCTATATACTGCTGATGAGAAAAGGTATTTACCAGTTTATAGTTTACTAAAATAATTGCATTTCCATGTTCTGTGTACTGTGGGAGACCAGATATAGTGAATGCAGGGTTTGGGGAGACCAGATATAGTGAATGCAGGGTCTGGGGAGACCAGATATAGTGAATGCAGGGTCCGGGGAGACCAGATATAGTGAAATGCAGGGTCCGGGGAGACCAGATATAGTGAATGCAGGGTCTGGGAGATCAGATATAGTGAATGCAGGGTCCGGGAGACCAGATATAGTGAATGCAGGGTCCTGAGAGACCAGTTATAGTGAATGCAGGGTCCTGGCAGAGCGGATATAGTGAATGCAGGGTCCGGAGAGACCGGGTATAGTGAATGCAGGGTCCGGGGAGACCGGATATAGTGAATGCAGGGTCCGGGGAGACCAGATATAGTGAATGCGAGGTCCGGGGAGACCGGGTATAGTGAATGCGGGGTCTGGGGAGACCGGATATAATGAATGCCGGATCCGGGAGAGCGGATATAGTGAATGCAGGTCCGGGGAGACCAGATATAGTGAATGCAAGGGTCTGGGGAGACCGATATAGTGAATGCAGGGTCCGGGGAGGACCAGATATAGTGAATGCGGGGTCTGGGGAGACCAGATATAGTGAATGCAGGGTCTGGGGAGATCAGATATAGTGAATGCAGGGTCCGGGGAGACCAGATATAGTGAATGCAGGGTCCGGGGAGACCGATATAGTGAATGCAGGGTCCGGGGAGACCGGATATAGTGAATGCAGGGTTCCGGGGAGACCAGATATAGTGAATGCAGGGTCCTGGGTTTAGTAACAATTTAATATTGGATTCATTCGTTATGTCATGATTCGAAGATTCTGCTGGAGCCACCTTCATCAACCCAAACACAATAAATAGGAATCATCCTATTTTACTTTTATACCTCACTGTATGTATTGCAATGTGTTTTCATTTCATATGTAGTGCATTTTTTATAATAAAGAAAAATGTTATTGCAAAAAGAATCGGCTGATTATTAGAATATTCACTCTCTGCTCACTAGCATAAAAATGAATGGATCTGAATCAATTCTTATCACTCATCATGTCGTTATGTTATTTCGGATGCTTCAAACATTACCAAAAGGCCCAAACTATGGCATCATGTGATCTGAATGAAACAAATTAATTTGAATGAATTTGTTGTTTTTTGTTATAAACTGATTTCAAATTTGATCAAATTCATTACCATTGGGATTAAGAGATTCAGATAAATTCGAATCACCGAATAATGAAAATTTTGCCCGAATTTGGATTCGTAACAAATCGAGTCACACATGTCTGCTGTCCGACATCCACAGAAGGCTACAGAATGTTAATGGAGATGACAACATTGACAAGAGTCACCGATAAAATTGCTATTGTCAATGGTGTCATCCCATCTCCATGAATATTCTGTATCCTTCTGTGGATGGTGACCAGCCTGCCCCCCTCCTTCATCAAGACCTCAATGATTGGCAAGATATTAAACAAGAAAACAAGAAGTGGAGGAGCACTCCTCTCATTCTCATTTAGTCATCTGGGTAATTTGAACTTCAGCTACTGAGCTCTCTAAACATGGGTGGTTTTTAGCAATGGATTTAAGATTTCTTTGGGAAATATGTTGAAAATGAATTAGAGTTCCACCAACGGGCGGACTGACAACTCATGGGGCCCCTGGGCAATAGGGGATCATGGGACCCCTGTGTCCTTGCCCAAACTCAACAAAGCCTATGAAAAAGGTATCAGGGGCATCTCATAGGTCCCCCTACTGACCCCGGACCCTTTGGCAGTGCCCGAGTTTCCAAATGGTTAGTCTGCCCCAAGGGCGGACTGACAGGTCATGGGGCCCCCGGGCAATAGGGGATCATGGGGCCCCTGTGTCCTTGCCCAAACTCAAAAAAGCCTATGAAAAAGGTATCAGGGGCTTCTCATAGGGCCCCCTACTGACCCCGGGCCCTCGGGCAGTGCCCGAGTTTCCAAATGGTCAGTCCGCCCCTGGTCCGGCCCTAGTTCCACCTGCTGAGGGCAGTTGCTGATTTTTACCAGAATAGGATTAGAAAGAAAACCCTCCAATAGTCACATTAAGACTGGTGATAATTGGCTAGATGAGATTTCCTCTCACTACTGAGGGTTTTCTTCTCTCTCCCTGCTTTGTCAATAAATAAAGGTTTTCTATCTTTTACGTAACATCTCGATATGTTATATAAAGTGGAGTTCCTGCATCTGCCCCCCCCCCTCCAAACAAAAAAATATAAAAAGTCAGCAGCTACAAATACTGTAGCTGCTGGCTTTTAATATTAGGACACTTACCTGTCCAGAGGTCCATCAGTGTCCTCATCCCAAGCTGTTGGGTGCTGGCCCTGCCATCTTGACTAAGGGAAGTGTGGCCTCACAGTCGGTTTCCTACTGCACAAGTCGCAGCACAGTGGCTAAATGGTTAGCACTTCCCCCTGGCAGTACTAGGGTTGTTGGTTCGAATCCAAACCATGGCACCACCTGCCTAGAGTTTGCATGTTCTCCCTGTGCCTGCATGGGTTTCCTCCGGGTACCCCAGTTTCCTCCCGCACTCCAAAGACATGCTGGTAGATTAATTGGCTCCTGTCTAAATTGGCCCTAGTCAGGGGGGGGGGGACTGACCATTTGGAAACTCAGGCACTGCCTGAGGGCCCGGGGTCAGTAGGGGGCCCCATGAGATGCCCCTGGTACCTTTTTCATAGGCTTTTTTGAGTTTGGGAAGGACACAGGGGCCCCATGATCCCCAATTGCCCAGGGGCCCCATGAGTTCTTAGTCTGCCCCTTGCACTAGTATGTACGAATATGAGTAAGGGAACTTAGATTGTACGCCCCTTGAGTGGTTAAAGACTGTGTGAAATGCCCCTGAGTGCTTTGGGATGGCCTCAGTGAACCAATCGAGAAGTAGAAGGGGGTACCTGTCAACCCCCCCCCCCCCACAAAAGGTGCCAAATGTGGCAGCAAAGAAGGGGGGAGGAGGCAGCATGCAAAGAGACAAAGAGAGGACGCACAGGCCTAGTGCATTACTTTTAGAAATTGGTTTCTTATATAAAATGTGATATACTCACAAAAGAATAAAAGTCAAAGGCACATCATAGGAAATACAGCAAGGTCCAATCTCCCTGGAAGGTGTCCGGTTGGGGACTATAGACCTCCAAATGGTTGACGCGTTTTGAGGCAATGCCTCTTCCTCAGAGCCCGCTACCAACATGATCAGAGGGCAGTAGGAGGGGGTACCTATCAACCCCCCCCCCCCCCCACACACACACACAAAAGGTGCCAAATGTGGCAGCAGAGGGGGGAGGAGGCAGATAAGCAGAGCTTACACTTTTGGGTGGAACTCCACTTTAAGCCTAAGAAACAGCCTGAAAAAATTACCTTTTGCCTTAAATTCCTCCTGTAAAGCAGCAATGTGCTTCCATTGTCATAATCCTCATAGCAATATCATTGCAGCGTAAGATCATCAGGCAGCCCATATATGATACATTTATTTCATATCAAGGAGCGGGGTGAACAAAAAAAAAAAGACCTGATTCCCACATCCACGCACTCTATGTGGATGGGGGCATCACATCCACTGAGCTATTTTGTGAGTCTTCCCCGCCATCAGAACACACCGATCAGCGCTGCCGGCTATAGCTTACAAGGCTGACCAAGCAGCATTTATCTGAAAAGGTTGTATAGAAGACAATTGGTAAATCAACTTCCGTACAACCAAGATTCCCATACATGGATGGAAATTTGTCTGGTCCCTGCTGAACTGGCTGAATTTCAATTCACACATAGCCGGCTTAAGGCACTGTGTCTCTCAAGGTTTGTCACAAGATTTGAAGATGTCTCTACTGAGGTGTTCACTGTTCTCTTTGCTGAAAGAAGTGCTGTACCTGAGGACCTGCAGTGAAAGAATCTCCCTGTTTCTGTTCCATCAATCCATTGTTTTCTGATTCCATCACCTTTCCTGCTGCATCATGAATATTACCCCATCAGACATCAGATTAGGACTCATTAGGGATTGGATCTGCTATGAGGAAGCAATGATTTGCTCTTCTAACAAGATGGCAGCCTCCACACAGAGACAGAACAAGGCATGGTAAGTCAGAAATCAGGAAAAAATTAGCTGTGCTGTAGAGAGATCACAAGCAATATTGGTGACTAGTCCTTTGCCCTCTGCTTGTCTTTTTTATAGGTTCAGTTTCTACAGTTCAGGTCCTCATTAAATGCAGGATTACATTGCCCTGTCACTTATTTTTTACAATGCTAAAAGATTTCTTACCATCTTGGGAGCAGTAAAATGGAACATCACCGTTAATTAGAAATTTCCAAACCTTTTAATCTCTGCAACCAAATCTAGTATAGATTTTACAATGCTAATGGGAAAACCTGCACTGATTTTCAACTAGTGGTATGTGAATCCCAGGGGGTACTCCAGACAGATCATGAAGGTTGAGAAGATGTAAATGCAGACAGTTTGAACGTAATAAATCATATATAAAATTGTTTTCAGTAAGTGCTTTCAGTTATTTAAAACGATAATGAGCTGTCTGAAAACATTTACACATATTTAGGAGTATCCATATAAAATATACTAGAAATATATGTAACCACATCACAAGGTATGTCTTTGTGTTCTTTTGCTCACCTTCTTTTCTAACACATTAAAACTAGAATCTTTACTCAGAAATGAAAGTATCAACTCCCAAACCCCGTCGCTAACACTTCTATTTTTTTTTTTACAGGGAACAGACACCTTTTTTTGACTACCAAACGAGAAAAAGCCACCTAATATGACACATATAAATATGTCATATTAATATCTCCGTCTCACTCATAATTAGTGTGGATTTATAAACCCAATATGTACCGAACAAAAAATAGCAGTGTGACAGATGCAGTACTGCTTAAACAAAAGTGGTTACTTCAAAATCCAAGCGGAGTAATATTATCATTCAAAAAACTTTATTCGATCACATGGATCATATAGAGGTTAGACATAGATATGGTAAACAGGTAATAATAAAATCACTTAAAAACATTCGGCGTCTCCAAAATAAAGTAGTTGTTCGGCAATTGAGGATCCACAAAAGGCAATAGAGTTCCTAACTACTAGATCAAAGAATTTCCATATTTTCCATAGAAAATCAGCATAGGAAGATCATTCTTCAAGAACCATTATGGTAATAATCACAATAAGTAAAATGACTTCCTGAAATGGAAAAACCAAAAAAGAGAGATCATAGTAGGTGGAACTAAAATAGGGTAAATATACTGGGCAAATGAGTCAGCCCAGCAGACACATAGCTAGTCCATCATTGAAGGATGGACAAGCTTGACCATCATTGAAGGATGGATATATGGCCTTCCTGGGTAACCAGGAACCAAGAACCAGGAACCAGGATGTGGTTACCCAGGAAGGCCATATATCCATCCTTCAATGATGGTCAAGCTTTTGAGAAGGTAATGATTTAAATATACATTAGCTATGTGTCTGCTGGACTGACCCATTTGCCCAGTATATTTACCCTATTTTAGTTCCACCTACTATGATCTCTCTTTTTTGGTTTTTCCATTTCAGGAAGTTATTCTACTTATTGTGATTATTACCATAATGGTTCTTGAAGAATGATCTCCCTATGCTGATTTTCTATGGAAAATATGAAATATTCTTTGATCTAGTAGTTAGGAACTCTATTGCCTTATGTGGATCCTCAATTGCCGAACAACTACTTTATTTGGAGACGCCGAATGTTTTTAAGTGA